AAGCCACTTAGGGCACCTAATACTCGCTCATGCGCCGTGCTAGGCCAGATCTCCACTTCTCGGCGGCGAGCGAAGGGGGGACGTCAGAAGGAGAAGGCCTTCTCACAAGGCGGCGGGGTTTCTCAGAAACGCCTTCCGAAACATGTCCTGCGTCTGCGGGGCAGGCTCAGAACACTTCTCGGAATGCCCGAGGCCTTCCGAGACTTCTGCGAAGGCCCGCCCCCTCTCACTTCCCCCCCCCGGCTGGCCGCCGAACTTCTGCACCCCCCCTCCCTCAGCAGTCCCCGCAGTCATCCCAACGAGGGCCAGTTCTGAACGGACCTGGGGGGCGGAGGCGGGGGCAGCCGCCGCTGAGTCCCAGCGGGCCGCCCTCCGGGGTGGAGTACAGCAGGGCCTGGTCCTCGAAGTCCCCGAAGAGCTCCAGCACCTCTCGGGGTCCCCAGAGCCATGTGGCGGGTTCCAGAAGGGGCGTCTCTCTTACTTCCGCCGCATGCCGCCAGCCTTCCGCCGGCGTCCGCCGGCGGCGGCGGCGGCCTCGTTCTACTCGCGCCGCGCGCCTTCCGCCGACCTTCCGTCGCCTGCCGCCGAGCAAGAGATGGCAACTCCTTCGGTCCTCGAAGGCGAAACCACTTCTGTGGAACGCCCCTTCGGTGAGCCACGACCAGGAGCAAGTCTTGCGTGCTACGACATGGCGACCTCACGCCGCGGCTTGCGCGGGGCGCCCGCGCGGCACGCCACGTCTGCGACGAGGGCGCGCGACGTGGGACCTTCTGTGGGGGCAGCCTGCGCGCCGAGGCCGGTGAAGACGACCCCGCTCTGCTGCGTCGCACATCTGGCCATCGCTCGGACGTCCATTCCCTGTGCATTTTTCAGTTTCGTGCGTGGTTTTCTCGCCAAATGATCAAGGATGCTCCTCGATGGTCCTCGTCGAAAGAAAAATGCACACGTCCGAGCGATGCCAAGACATGTGGTGACGGACCGCGTGGTGACCTCGGAATCCCGAGAAGCCCCACCGCGCGGTCCGTCACCGCGCGGCCTCGGGACCTGGGGGGCCCCGGTCGCCCGAGACGCCCTCGGAGGACGACCCGAGTCCTCAAAGCCGAGCGGTGACCCCGGACCCCCACTGACCCACCATGACCACACCGTCCGGGGCCCCCACCCCTTAGGTGGCAACTCATGGGAGCCTCCCATACCATCTTGTCGGCTCTTGCGAATCGACGCCGATCGACGCTCAATCGACGCGAATCGACCCTAAATCGACGTTCATCGACGCTAAATCGGCGCTCTCTCATCCACTCCCAGGCGCTACTCGACTCTAAGGATAAAATTAAGGGGGCCTACCAGGCTCCCATGACTTTGCCTTAGGTCGGACATGTCCTCCTACAGGCGGATCTTGGGCGAAAAAATAAAACATAGCCAACAATTGACTCCCAACTCGGGAAAACATGGTCGAAACATCGTCTCCAGCCTATTTCTGGAATACTTGTTTGACTACTCCTCTCGCAAAGGCACAGGCCCGACTCAAGACTTGCCGCCGAGCCCCCCGAGAGCCTCCGCCGCGAGGCCGAAGAGGCGCCGCAGGCTCCCCGCGCGGCCGATGAAGGCGCCGCTGTTGGGGAACGGCGCGAGGGGCGCTGCCTCGGGCGAGGCACCGCGGCCTGAGGGAGGAGCCCGACGCGCTCGCCCCCGGGGTCGGCCGGGAGGTGCGGCTAGGGAGCCAGATGCGAACCCTACCCCTACCCCCCACGATTTCTGAGGGGGAGGGTGGGGTTCACTTCGCTCAGGAGCTCCCGAACAAAGTGAACCCCACCCTCCCCCTCAGAAATCGTGGGGGGTAGGGGTAGGGTTCGCAGCAAGCTAGCCAGCTCGAGCGAGTCGAGCATGGCGTGCTCATTCCCACCCGCCCTCCCACAACATAAGAAACAGTGATGGCACAACTGGGGGCTGCGCGGGCATTTCAGTGCGAGTGGAGGATACCCCAGGACACCGCATTGACGTCCGCGCGCGATGTGCGCCGCGCCCCATTCCTGCCACGCATTTCGCATCGTCGACGACAAGACAAGCCATGATGAAAGGAAAAACGGCAACTCTGCATTGTTTTCTACAGTCAGGATGGGAGGGGCCGCGGCCCGCATGGACGTCCGCGCGCGATGTGCGCCGCGTCCCACTCCTGCAACATATTTCACTCCGTCGGCGACAAGGCAGGCCATGATGAGAAGAAAAAACGGAAACTGTGTAGTTTTTTTACAGTCAGGATGGGCGGGCCCGGATTAACGGCCCCGCGCGATGTGCGCCGCGTCCCATATGCGCGCCGCGTCCCATTGCTGCCACATATTTCGCACCGTCGGCGACAAGGCAGGCCATGCTGAGAGGAAACAACGAAGAATTTGTATTGATTTTATACAAACAGGATGGGCGGGCCCAGATTAACTGCCGCGCGCGATGTGCGCCGCGTCCCATTCCTGCCACGCTTTTCGCAGCGTCGACGACAAGAAAAACGACGTTGAGAAGAACAACTGCAACTTTGTATTGTTTTTTCCCAACCCTCCTGCGTTGGGTTCTCGTTTTGAATAGAGCACTGTGGTCTCCACTCCTCCCGCTCCCTCTCCTCCTCTCTTCGTTCCTGCTCTCCTCTCTTGCTTCCCTTCTCCTCCTCCCTTTGCTCCTCCTCTTGTCTCTTGCCTTTTACGTCATCTCTGGGGGGCTGCGATCTGCGGAACTGTCACCACTTTCGAAGGCCGCTGGTGGGTCCAGCGGAGTGAGGCACCACGGGGACTCAGATTAGACCTCGCCATCCCTGGGGGAGGGGGGGCTGCGATCTGTGAAACTGTCGCCACTTTCGAGGGCTGCTGGTGGGTCCAGCGGAGTGAGGCACCACGGGGACTCAAATTAGACCTCGCCATCTCTGGGGGGGGGCTGCGATCTGTGAAACTGTCACCACTTTCGAGGGTTGCTGGTGGGTCCAGCGGAGTGAGGCACCACGGGGACTCATATTAGACCTCGCCATCTTTGGGGGGCTGCGATCTGTGAAACTGTCGCCACTTTCGACGGTTGCTGGTGGGTCCAGCGGAGTGAGGCACCACGGGGACTCAGACTAGACCTCGCCATCTCGGGGGGGCTGCGATCTGTGAAACTGTCGCCACTTTCGAGGGTTGCTGGTGGGTCCAGCGGAATGAGGCACCACGGGGACTCAGATTAGACCTCGCCATCTCTGGGGGGCTGCGATCTGTGAAACTGTCGCCACTTTCGAGGGCTGCTGGTGGGTCCAGCGGAGTGAGGCACCACGGGGACTCAGATTAGACCTCGCCATCTCTGGGGGGCTGCGATCTGTGAAACTGTCGCCACTTTCGAGGGCTGCTGGTGGGTCCAGCGGAGTGAGGCACCACGGGGACTCAGATTAGACCTCGCCATCTCTGCGATCTGTGAAACTGTCGCCACTTTCGAGGCTGCTGGTGGGTCCAGCGGAGTGAGGCACCACGGGGACTCAGATTAGACCTCGCCACCCCTGGGCGGCTGCGATCTGTGAAACTGTCGCCACTTTCGAGGGCTGCTGGTGGGTGGCCAGCGGAGTGAGGCACCACGGGGACTCAGATTCCTGACCACGAGCAATGCTCGCGTGCCCTTGCTCTGCGGTTCGTGCCATCGCTACCGTCCTTCGAGGTTGCCCATCGGGCCCTCTAACAAATATATTCACGCATACTGTCGGCCTGCAGCGCCGTACTGGTGGCTGAAGAAAGGCGCCTGCTCCGCGGTCTTAGCAGCGCGCGGGGCCGAGGCGTAATTGCCGACGCGCGCAAGCTTGCGCCTTCGCTAACCGCGCTTCCAAGTTGCCTGTCAGGCGCTCTATAACCACAGCCACCGCGGCATCGCGGAATTGGATTTATGCTGAAAGAGTTCGAGCTCCGCCTCGCTCGTTCCTTGCACTCTACACAAGTTTTATCATATGGAACTCTGCGACGGCGCAGGCAGCGCTGCGGGTTTAGCTCGCACTTGAAAAACGCGGCAGTCTTCTGTCTCCTCCCGCCACTTTCATCGTCGTCCTATTCCCCGCCTCACCTTCTCCATGCATGCTGCTGCTTCCGCGATGGCCTTTCGCCCCCCCCGCCCTCCATTCCATCCCTCTCCTACCCCTCGTTCCCGTACCCGTTCTTCTTCGATCCTGGGGCCTCAATCCTCGTTCTTTCGATCGTCGTCCTGTGAATCGTGCAACGCATGCGCATCCCATGTAGCTTGCACAGCAAATCGCCGCGTCTACACTGTCGTTGTTCCTGCTGATGTTGGCATAGTCCTCTTGCCATTTGATGCACGTGGGTTGGGTACGTCGCAGGGTAATTACAGTCCGGATGGGAGGTCCCGGATCGGGTTGCTATCGGCCGGAATACCAGGTAGGTGGGGGTATATGATAATAAGGAACAAGGATCTGGCTCCCTAGCGGCGTGCATCAATGAGTCTCGGAGCGCGTGCCAGCGCCAACGCGTTGCTTGTCCTTTTGTCGGCCTCTCGGGGCACCCTATACTGGGCCTCGGGGCCGTCAGGCAACGACTCGGGACGGATCGCAGGACAGCTCGCCGCTCGGGCCCCACCGCCAGCCCTAAACGGCGAGCATGAATCGGGCGTAGCCCCACACGCATTTCCGAGTGCCCACTGCCCACAATTCGTCCTCGTACTGCTCGTATTCCTCCCCGTCCTCCTCCCCATCCTGATAGTCGTCGACGCCCTCCTCCTCGTCCTCCTCCTCATCCTCCTCGTCTTCTTCTTGCTCCAGCTCCTCCTCGTCGTCCTCGTCTAAGACCTCGTCTTCGTTTCTCCTCTTCCTCCTCTTGCTCATCATATAGGTTGCGCCCTCGGCGGCCGAGAATCAAACCGTCTCCTATCGGTTGCGCCATAGGTTGCGCCCTCGGTGGCCGAGAATCAAACCGTCTCCTATCGGTTGCGCCATAGGTTGGGCCCTCGGCGACCGCGAATCATTGCGCCACAAGTTGCGCCCTCGGCGGCCGAGAATCAAACCGTCTCCTATGGGTTGCGTCACAGGTTGTGCCCTCGGCGGCCGAGGATAAAACCGTCGCGTAACGGGTGCGACCAGTCAGTTCAGTTCAGTCTACCTCGCGAGAAACAAATTCGGGCTACGCCCGAACAAAAACGGTCCTGGGGAAGAGGTCGAAACCTCTGGGGGCCGACGTCATGAACAAGTCATGACGTCGGGGGCCTGGGCAGTGCGACGCAGGCAGAGTGACGAGGGCCGACACGGGCTGTGTGCGATCGGTGGAGCTTGGCGGACCAAGGCAGAAAAAACTGCACAAAGAGGACGGTTCGCCGGGGGCCCGTGCGGATCTCTCGGACTGGTGCTGGACCCATCTCTCTGGCGCGCGGAGCGCCAGGGGCGGCGCCGCAGGCGCCGCCAGGGGAGCCCAGCGCCGATCCATCCAGGAGATCCGCGCGGAGCTCCGAGAAATCATGCCTCAGCCGGCTTGTATCTTTCGACTGCCGCGCCGCCCCAGCTTCCCAGCCTGTGGGACGCTGGCGCGCTTGTACACCGAACTCCTGCGTTGAGCTCCTTGGCTCCTGGGACGGCCGGGCGACGTGGTGTGTACATCGAGCCCCTCCAACGGCTCGAGCCAGAGCCAAACAATGTGTCCTGTTTTTGATGTGTTTTCAATTCCCCTCGTTCTGTCCTCTCTCCGCCCGTGCCGCACAACGCAATCACACGGAGAACGGTCCTGGACATCGCCAAAGCACTGTCTGGCTCTAGCCCTGGCCCCTCCCATGGGGAAACCAACAGGTACTGATATCGCTACTCCCCGGACCTCGTCCGGGGCGCGTTCTGACCAGGATTTTGAAGCGAATCCAGCGGTGGCGACGAGGGTCTCCCAGGAGGCCCCAAAAGAGGAAAGCGCGCGCAGGGTAATTAGAGGCATGGGTACCTTCTCCTCCTCCGATCCAAAGGCCTCTCAGCCGCGCTTGGCGGTGCCAGTGGTCGCAGATCTGGTCCCCTCGCAACCGCGTGCCGTTGCCGAACCGGTACTGGTAGTCCGGCCGGTAGTCGCCGGAGACGACGGGCTCGGCGGGCCCCGCCCAGGCGCCCTGGCAGGCACGAGCTGGATCGAATCCCACACCCCAGATTCCTCCTCCTCCTCCTCCTCCTCCTCCTCCTCCTCCTCATCCTCCTCCTCCCTCTCCTCCTCCCTCCTCTTCCCTCCTCCTCCTCCTCCTCATCCTCCTCCTCCCTCCCTCCCTCCCTCCCTCCCTCCCTCCCTCCCTCATCCTCCTCATCCTCCTCCTCCTCCTCCTTCTCCTCCTCCTCCTCCTCCTCCTCCTCCTCCTCCTCTTGAATCAAATCCCTGGCGTCATGACTTGTTCATGACGTGGACCCCCCCGGCACCCTCGAGTCATGAACAAAAACTCGACGCGGTGGTTGTCGCTATTCTGGGCCTCTGGGGGCGCTATCTTGTCATCGGGACGCGATGGGGTCAGATCCCAACCGGACGGCTCCGAACCCAACCCGACGGTTCCGATCCAAACCGGTACGACAAACGTATCGGCTCAGATCCCAACAGCCGGAAACCTGGTTGATAGTTGCTATTTCAATATCATGTTGGCAATGGACACCGAATGGTATCCCTGAGGGGAACTCGCTAGGTTTTCACAGTGCGCAGGTGTGATCTAGAACATTGTAATGCCCAATGATATGCGAGTTCCAAATGCTCCAGGACGGCCCTATACCGGCCTTATTCGGACCCAAGCGGGCCCAGGAGGCCCCGAAGACGGTCCCAGAGGGCCCCGAGATGCCCAATCATCGATCCAAGACGCCCAAGATGGGCCAAAGACTGCTCAAGAGGCCCCCAAGGCGCCCCAAGAAGCAAGCCTCCAAGAGGCCTCCCCAGACGGCCCCAAGAGGCACACATCACTGCTTTTCGTTAGGTTTAGGTTAGTGAAGGATCGGCCCAAGAGGCGCCCAAGATGGCCCAAGAGGGCCCAGCATGGCCCCAAGAGGGGGGGGGACCACGAACTGAAAATCCGAGCCTTCCGCTCCGAGAGGCCCCCAGGAGGCCCCCAGTGCCGCCCAGGCGGCCCCGCGAGGCCAGCCTGTGCTTCGCCTGTCTTTGGACCTTCCTCCCGTGGAGAGACATGCCCGACTGAAGTAGGGGGAAAACGAACCTACCTCGCCTTTGACCACCCTCGCTTCCAAGAGATACCAAGCGATGCCAAACTACGGCCAGCACTAGTCAGGTCGCTTGACGAGGAGGTGCGTGGTATGACTCGGTTTTGCCTGGAAGCGAAAGCGGGGCAGGAAATTCACGCTCCGATGAAGGCAGCCCGCAGGGGAGCGGGTCGGGGCCTCTCGGGGGCCGCGCCTCGACGGGCCGTGCCGGCAGAGCTGCCGGTGCAGGGGCGCGCGGCAGGGGTGCGAGGGCACTATGGGCGCCCCCCCCGCCGAGGCCCTCCGAGCGGGGCTGGCCGTCGAGAGCGCGGCCGCGGGCGGGCCGAGGACGGCATGAGGACGGCAGGGCTGCAGCTCGGGGAGCAAGCGCGGCGACTGTCAAGGGCACGCCGCCGGGGGGGGGGAGCCCACCAGCGCGCTGCTGCTGAAGACACGCCAGGCCTTCCGACAACGGCGGAGGAGGAATTGACACGCTGGAGGGCTACCAGCGGCAGCGTCTCAGTGATACTGGAGACTAGAGTGCTTCTTCTCCCTCCCGAGCAAGGGTGCAGTTTGGAAGTCGACCCTCCTTCCTATCAGCGCTGACTGCATCTTCGGGATGCTGGGATCGAGGGGGCGGATCGGAGCGGAGCCGGCTCGGATCGCCAGCGGATCGTCCCGAGTCGGCTCGAGAACGGGCCGCCGCGCCCAGCGCTGGCTGCTGGCCCATGTGGGCAGATGCCGGAGAACTCGGGCCGAGCAGCGAATCGAGTCCCAGACATCCAGCGTCTCGATCTATGCGAGCCGCGGCCCCGGATCGGCTACACGCAAGAGTGACGCCAGGCAAGAGTGGCCTTTGGTGCGCGGCTTTAGGTGAGCGCGGGCGTGACAGCTGCCATCGCATTGATTTTTCAGCGATCGGGGGACCCCAATGTGCCCACACCGAAGGTCACTCGGGCGAAAGGTCACTCTCACGTGTAGCCGACCTGAACTCACCCCTCGACCACTTCCCCAGGGCCGGTTGGTTCATCCCGAGTCGTTGCTGGATGGCCCCGAGGTCCGGTAAGGGCCCCGAGAGGGGCCGAACGCCACGAGAAACCTCCGCCTCAACGTTTTCGAGACGCCAGGTGTCCTGGATCGAAGTCGCGGCCCCAGCCGGCGAATCGGCCCCCATCGAATCACATCGTTTCCTGGCGGCCCCGCCTGGTGCGGGAAGGGCCAGCAGTTCCCCTCCCCGTTGAACACGACGGGGCCGCCGGGCGGTCCGACGAGGGGCCCGAGCGCCCGCTCGAGCCGCTGGAAGGCCTCCGGCAGCTGGCTCAGGGACGTGGCCTCCAGGACCACGTCGTAGCCGTCGGTGAAGAGCACCATCTCGTCGTCCGCGAGCTCGGCGAGGTGGGGGCGCAGGGAGAAGAACTTGCGGACCTGCCCAGAGAGCCGAGGCTCCGAGCAAGAAGGAAGCGGCCAAGGATTCGCCGTGCTGGGCCTCCAGAAACCCTCGCCGGGTCCCGGGACCGTCAACAGAAAGACTCAGGACGAACCACTGGCCCTGGGGAAGTTGTCCAGACTTCCGAGGGCCTACGCATCGAAAAAGTCGGAGAGGCCGGAGGGACGGAAGGGCACACGTAAAGCACGCTGCCGCCAGTCCCCCGGCCCCTTTTGGGGCACGTCCTGACCAGGACTCCGAGGCGAACCTGGCCGTGGCGGCGGCGGCGGCCAGACAGAGCCACAGCGAGGAAAGGTACTGACATCGGGTCGAAACAGATGCGCTGCAACATTTCGAGGGGCTCCCCAAACCCAGCTCAGCCAGGATGTGGGGCCACTGGCCGCAAGCGGCTCCCAGACCCAGCTTTGCCAAACTCCGCCTCTGCAAGATCCTGCTGGATCTGGCGTTTTGGCTGAGCCCGGAATCGGAATATGTTATGTCTTCCTCCTGCGAACCTTCGCGAAGCCGTTGGGGTCTGCGGCGCACTCGGCCTCCGTCTGGCAGCTGGACCGGGCAATGCCAAGGCGGATCCAGGCGGGTCGCCACCTCCTTGACGATGGGGGCCACTCAGGTCCTAACATTAGCCTCACCCCAGACATGCTCGCGACACAAAAAAAAACACGAAGGGAGATTGTTGGAAATGTTCTGCCTCCCGAGGTCCTCGCCGGGCCCAAGAACCGTCAACAAAACGGCTCGGGATGAAACACTGGCCCCGCGGAGGGGGTCGGGACTTCTGGAAAAACACAGTGTTGAAAGACAAAACGCACGGCATCGCATATCTGGGTCCAAGCAGCTCCTCGAAGCCAGACCTCCGAGGTCATTATTTTCCCATGACGTCACCCCCCCGAGGTCTCGACCCGTTCCCCGGGGCCAGTTTCTCATCCTGAGCCGTCTTTTGACGGTCCCGAAGCCCGGTAAAGGGCCCCCGCGAAGCAGAAATGTTGAAACACCTCCCTCCGTGCTTTTTTCACTACTCGAGGGGGCCTGGGAAGCTCGATCCACGAACCTCGACCCCCAGGAGGTGCCTGCGACCCCCCGTCGGCTGCACGCAAGAGCGGCCCCACGGGCCAGGGGCGGCCTTCGGTGGCGCGCGGCTTGCCGATCGCCTGCCGCGCGAGGCGACGGCGGCGGCCCGCGCTGCCTGGGCTTGCCGCCCCCCCCCGGGTCCCCCGAAAGCCGCACGCCACAACCTCCTCCCTCCTCCTCCGCCTCCTCCTCCTCCTCCTCCTCCTCCGACGACGACGACGACGACGACGACGACGACGACATGATTTTTCATGGCGCCGACCTCCAGAGGTCTGGGCCCCTTCCCGGGGACCGGTCTGTCGCCCCGCGTCGTCACATCGTTTTTTTGGGATGGTCCCGAGGCCGAATAAAAGAGCCCCCAGAGTCTAAACATAAACGAGAAACAGTCCGTCGTGATTGCCCACGGCTCGAGAGGGTGCCCCCTCCAACCTTCCGCCCAGGCTCGCCGCCGACCAGGACCGCCCCCCCCGTGGCCCTGCCCGAGGGCTCCTGAAAAACCCCTACGAAACCCGCCGCCTTCTGAGGCCTGCCCCCTCTCAGTCAGAGGTCTCCTAGATTTAGGTCGGGCCTGTTCCACTACAGGGGGATGTTGGGCGAAAAAATAAAAAAAAACTCCAAAAATGCTCAAAAATTGTTAAAAGAAATCGTCCCCAGACTATTGTTTTAAACTATTTTTGAATAGTCCTCCTGTAGAGGGACAGGCCCGACTTAATCCCAGATGGGGTTCGAGCAGCTGGGTTCGGAGGGCCGCGCCGCATCGCCAATGCATCGGCGCCTTGGGCGTGGAGGAAGCCGGGCTCCACATCGAGCCGCATCGACGCTGCATCGGCGATTCGGAACGATCCTCCGACCCCATCTGCTCCGACCCCATCTGGGAGGCCTGAATCAATTCTCGCCGGCTCGCTGCCGATCATGACCGCCGATCTGGACAGCTTCCCTAGGGAAAGGTCTTCGTCCTGAGCCAAGTTTTGACGGTCCATGGGGCCCAGAAGACCCAGACCCCCGACGTCGTGAATTTTTCATGACGTCGACCCCCAGCTGTCTGGACCCATTCCCTGGGACCGGTTTTTCGTCCTGAATGGTTTTTTGACGGTCCCAAGGGCCGGTAAGGGCCCCCAAAGGCCAAAAATAATGAAAAACCTCCCGTCGTGATTTTTTCATAACTCGAGGGGGTCTGGGGAGGTCACAGGCGGCCAGAAACCGGCTGCTCAAACTTCCTCGGGGCCTCGCGTCGCTTGGAATGCCGCCCCGGGCTCGCCGCCGATGGGAACTTGCTCTGACTCGGCGTGTCGACATTGGGCGGAAGGGAGGAGGGGGGAAAGGGGGGTCTGGCTCGGGAGGGACCTCTGCTGAGCGCCGGCTGTTTGCAACGGTGCGCCCTCTGGGTGTGAGACTTCACCAGCTTGACACGGGCGCCAAAAACAGCCGAGATCTGTTCCACGGGAAGAAAAGGGGGGGGGAGCGGGGGTGCGAAGGGCCCGCGCAGGATCGGCAACACAATGAGCAAGAAAACGATCCAGACCCCCGACGTCACGAATGTTCGCTGAGTCTTTTTTGACGGTCCCGAGGCCCAGCTGGGGCCCCTGGAGACCGAAAGTGGCCAAAAACCTCCCGTCGTGACTTCTCCACTCCTCGAGGGGGTCTGGCCTTCACGATCAGGACCCTCCCCCGTGGCACTGCCCGAGGCTCGAGGGCGAAGAGGCCCGACGCCCCGGCACCGGCCGCTGCCTCGCCTGCGCCGCGAGGCTCCGCGCCACGGCGCGCCGCGCCGCCGCCGGCACCCCCTCCCCGCCGGGCCCATCGCCGCCGAGGCCGAGGACGTTGAGGTACCCCCCGGCGGCCTCGGAGGCGTCACCAGAGAAGGGCCCCTAACCCTGAAGTTTGTGGATGCCAGGACAGTGGGCACTCGAACGACCCCATCATTGAGTGAAAGATGCGCTTGCAATGTCGAAGACATGTTCTAACACGATCCAAGCACGTGTTTCACATACTTAAACCATAATTGAAACATCCTTGAGACATCTGGAAACAACTTGGCGGCATGCTTCCTCTCCAGTGATCATTCTCCACGACTTTAGATTAAGAGGGCCAAACAACATCAGGGATTGGGGACCATTTCTGCAGATGTTCCCGGATAGCTCTGGGAGCTAAGAGAGTTTTAGATTGGAAACACGCACCGCAGGGTAGCCCCGGAGCTCGTTGTGGCTTCCGAAAGACACCTCGGCGCGCCTTGTCTAAATCTTCAATCTGTCCCGAGAGGCCTTGTTGCGAAACGTTTCCCAGTGCGTCTGCCCGGAAGCTCTCCCGAAGCTCGTTCCGCAGCTCCTTCCAGGAACTTCCAGGGCTTCTTCGGGAGGCCTTCGCACGCCCTTCCAGCGACCTGCTATCCAGGTTTTGGACCCCACAAGCACCAGCATAAGTCTTCATCGCGGCGACGCTCGACAGCGATGCCACTCGAGAGAGAAGAACGGCGCACAGTCGACGTTGGGTGAGGCAGCGGCCGGACGCCCCTTTGTCGAATCGCCAACCCGACCGCGGACGCGTCCGACGCACTCCGGCGAGCGGACGCGCCACGCGTCGACCCAGAGGTCAACCAAAGCTGCGCTATGGTAAGCCGAGGTTAACACCCTGGGCGGACGCCCTACCCCTAAATGGCCACTATGGGCAAGTAGGGCGCCGCAGGCATGACCAGGTACTACTTGATACCCCGGCCCGCGGCCAGGCGGCTGAATGGAGACACGTCGACCGTGCTCGGCAAGGGAAGGGAGCAAGAGAGGACACCGACGCACGGCCGCGCGGCATGCCGGCAAGCCCGCGCGGAAGCCTGGCCCGCCCGACGGAACGGCGGCGCGCGGCGGGCGGTCATGCAACCGCCCGCCGTCGCGCTCTGCGACGCTGGCGGGACGCCCCCCCCCCGCGTCAGTCGACTTCTCACTTGCAGTAACAAGTTACTACAGCCCACCAAGCCGCCCAGAATTATGATCCCTAGTGCAAAGACGGGGCCCTCAGTGAGGCTACGTGTCAACTCCACTATTCGTAATTCGGGTTAGGGGTTCTTTCGTCCACGGTGGTCGGAAGACCAAGCCCTGGCACCCGGGCGACCTGCCAGACCACCCCCAACGCAACCCGAAGCCCCAAATTTCTGGGTGTGGGCGTACAGTTAACCCGTATATTAAAGATGCGCGGTAAGGATGCAAGGGCCTTGCACGCTCATCTCGAAGCTTTTCGAGCGGAACGCGGCCAACGAAAGTGGCGAAGGATTGACCGAAGAGGCAAGGATGCAAGGGTACCCTTGGGAAGGCTGCCGGTCCTTGCTATGCGGGTTGACTGGGCGGGCTCCCTCTGTGTGCTTGTTCATTGTTCCCGGGTGCCCCCCCACTGGGAGTGGAGGGCAACTTATGGGGCTTTCGGGTTGGGCTTGGGGGTGGTCTTTGTGGGCAGTGACACTCAGCGTCCTGACAAAATCGAGGCGGAGGTCTTTCCTCGTTTTCGGCCTCTCGGAGCCCTCGCTGGGCCCCAGGACCGCCGAGGCCGAAGATGTCGAGGTGGTCCCGCCGCTTCGTTATCGTTTTGTTGTTGTTTTCCTTCGTTCTGTCTGCATTCTACCTTTGCTGCGAAACGAAATCAAAACGAAAACGGTCCACGAAATCGTTGAAACATCGTTTAATTCGAGCCCTCGGTTATCGGCATTTCTTCTGCCGCGCTGGAGAGCCTCACCTCCTCTTCCTCCTCTTCTTCCAACTCGCTCAACAGACTCAGGCTCTCTCACGCTAAGACGCACTCAAAACGCACTCGCTACTCAGACCCAACTCAGCCGCACTCGTTCTGAGAATCACTCGCGCACGCAGGCTGTGAGGAT